AGTGTCACCATTAACAAAGCTCGACTTGTCGCTGAGATGTTTTCCGACAAGTTCAAGGAGTTGACTACGATGATACTTTCTCACTCGTAGCAATGCTAAGAGTCTGTTAGAATTATATTAGCTGCTACTGCATTATTTATGAAATCTTGCAGATAGGATGTCAAAATATAGTTTCCTCGACGATTTTCTTGAGGAAAGGTTGTATCTGATACAACCAGAAGGTTTTGACAATCCTAAAAGATGCTAACAAGTATGCAAAGCTCCAGCAATCCTTCTAAGGACTGGAATAAGCATCTCAGAGTTGGAATATACTCTTTGATGAGATGATCAAAGATTTTGGATTTATACAAGTTTATGAGAAACTTGTATTTCCAAAGAAGTGAGTGGGAGCACTATAGAATTTTTGATGAGTATATGTTGTTGACGTATTGTTGATCAGAAATGATATAGAATTTCTAGAAAGCATATAGGGTATTTGAAAAGGTGTTTTTCAATGGAAAACCTGGATTAAGCTACTTGAACATTGAGCATCAAGATCTATAAGGATAGATCAAAAACACTCAATAATACTTTCAAATGAATACATGTCGTGACAAGATTTTTAAGAAGTTCAAAATAGATCGGCGAAGAAGGAGTTCTTGGCTGTGTTATAAGGTGTGAGTATTGAGTAAGACTCAAGACATGACCTCGGCAGAAGAGAGAGAATGGACGAAGGTCGTCCCCTATGCTTCAGACATAGGCTCTACAGTATGCTATGCTGTGTACCGCACCTGAAGTGTGCCTTGCCATGAGTCAGTCAAGGGGTACAAGAATGATCCAGGAATGGATAACGGGACAGCGGTCAAACATATCCTTAGTAACTAGTGGACTAAGGAATTTTCTCGATTATGGAGGTGGTAAAAGATTTCGTCGTAAAGGGTTACGCCGATGCGAACTTTGACACTAATCCAGATTATTCTGAGTAGTAAACCGGAATCGTATAGTAGAACAGTTATTTGGAATAGCTCCAAATAGAGCGTGGTAGCTGCATCTAGGAGATGACATAGAGATTTGTAAAGCACACACGGATCTGAAAGATTCAGACCCGTTGACTAATAACCTCTCTCACAAGCGAGATATGATCAAACCCCATGGGTGTTGAATTCATTACAATCACATAGTGATGTGAACTAGATTATTGACTCTAGTGCAAGTGGGAGACTATTGGAAATATGCCCTAGAGGCACTAATAAAATGGTTATTATTGTATTTCCTTGTTCATGATAATTGTCTATTGTTCATGCTATAATTGTATTAACTGGACACTGTAATACATGTGTGAATACATAGATCACAACATGTCCCTAGTGAGCCTCTAGTTGACTAGCTCGTTGATCAACAGATGGTCATGGTTTCCTCACCATGGACATTGGATGTCATTGATAACGGGATCACATCATTAGGAGAATGATGTGATGGACGAGACCCAATCCTAAGCATAGCATAAGATCGTGTAGTTCGTTTGCTAAAGCTTTTCTAATGTCAAGTATCATTTCCATAGACCATGAGATTGTGCAACTCCCGGATACCGTAGGAATGATTTGGGTGTGCCAAACGTCACAACGTAACTGGGTGGCTATAAAGGTGCACTACGGGTATCCCTGAAAGTGTCTGTTGGGTTGGCACGAATCGAGACTGGGATTTGTCACTCCGTGTGACGGAGAGGTATCTCTGGGCCCACTCGGTAATGCATTATCATAATGAGCTCAATGTGACTAAGTAGTTAGTCATGGGATCATGCATTATGGAACGAGTAAAGTGACTTGTCGGTAACGAGATTGAATGAGGTATTGGGATACCGACGATCGAATCTCGGGCAAGTAACATACCGATTGACAAAGGGAATTGCATACGGGATTGCTTGAATCCTTGACATCGTGGTTCATCTGATGAGATCATCATGGAACATGTGGGAGCCAACATGGGTATCCAGATCCCGCTGTTGGTTATTGACCAGAGAACGTATCGGTCATGTCTGCATGGTTCCCGAACCCGTAGGGTTTACACACTTAAGGTTCGGTGACGCTAGAGTTGTTATGGGAAATAGTATGTGGTTACCGAAGGTTGTTCGGAGTCCCGGATGAGATCCTGGACATGACGAGGAGCTCCGGAATGGTCCGGAGGTGAAGATCGATATATTGGACGAAGGGTATTGGAGTCCGGAATTGTTCTGGGAGTACCGGGTGACGACCAGCCTGACCGAAAGGTGTTTCGGAGGCCCCGACAAGCGTTGGGGGGCCTTATGGGCCAAGGGGAGGGGGCACATCAGCCCACTAAGAGGCTGCGCGCCCCTCCCACCCCATCTCACGTAACGTGGAGAGGTGGGGGCGCCTCCCCTAGGGCAGCCACCCCTCCCGGCTTGGGGGGCAAGTTTCCTAGGGGTGGGGGCGCCCAAACCCATCTAGGGTTTCCCCTGTGGCCGCCGCCCCTCCCCTAGGGAACCCTAGGGCGCCTCCCCCTCCTCCCTTCCCCCTATATATAGTGAGGGAGAGAGAGGGCAGCCACACCCTTCCCTTGGCGCAGCCCTACCCCTCTCCCTCCTCGTCTCTCGCAGTGCTTGGCCAAGCCCTGCTGGAGTGGCACGCTCCTCCATCACCACCACGTCGTTGTGCTGCTGCTGGACGGAGTATTCCCCAACCTCTCCCTCTCCCCTTGCTGGATTAAGGCACGGGAGACGTCATCGGGCTGCATGTGTGTTGAACGCGGAGGTGCCGTTGTTCGACGCTTAGATTGGAATCAACCGTGATCTGAATCGCTACGAGTACGACTCCTTCATCCGCGTTCTTGTAACGCTTCCGCATCGCGATCTTCAAGGGTATAAAGATGCACTCCCCTCTCTCTCGTTGCTAGTATCTCCATAGATTGATCTTGGTGATGCGTAGAAAATTTTGAATTTCTGCTACGTTCCCCAACAAGAGGGAAGGCGGCGGAAGCAACTGTGATCTCCATGTCATTTTGGCAATCGGTGGAGCATTGCATGAGAGCTTCACAGCCACTTCTTAGAGCTTTGAGGATCGCTGATGGTGATGAGACTCCGGCTATGGCGGAAATGTGGGCAGCCATGGATTTTGCAAAGACACACATAAGGGAAGCTTTGGCACATAAGCCAAACCTCCTAGGTCAAGTGGTAGCTATTGTTGATAAGAGGTGGGTAATCAGATGGAACAAAAGCTACATGGGGCTGCTTTGTTCTTGAACCCAAATAAATTCTTTGCCATTAAGGAGTCCAACAGAAGACAAGCTGCCCGTCTCCGTTCAATGTTCAATGATGTGCTATGGAAGATGGTGCCCGATGATGAGCAGCAAGCAACTATTAGTAGGGAAGCTGACGACTATGAGCTGGGGAGTGAATGTTTCTCGAAGCCATTGTCAATTAAAGATCGTGACAAAAAAGCCCTCGTAAGTATAAATTTTATGGCAGCTTGTGTCTTCTTGTTCAGCTCAATTACTCCACTAATTGCTGGTTATTGTGGCCTTCTCTTTAATGTGGGACTTCTTGGTTTTGTAGTTCTTTGGTGGAATGCTTATGGTGGCCTTGCTTTTGACCTCCAAACTCTTGCAAAGCGAATCATTAGTCTATGTTGTTCAGCATCTGGCTGCGAGCGCAATTAGAGTGTATTTGCTCATGTAAGTAGCCATTAGTTGGTTGGTTTGATAGGCTAATTGCAGCAGCTTCTCACATATTTGTGTGCTTGCAGATCCACACCAAAGGGAGAAACCGTCTAGAGTACAAGAGATTGAACAAGCTATCATATGTCTCGTACAACCGGAAAATGGAAGCTAGGTTTCAGAATCTGCGTGAGCAAGGCTCTAAAGCAAAGAAATCTAGTCCACTTGTACTAGAAGAATTTGAATGGGATAATGAATGGGTTGATATCAATACTGAAATGGTACATGAAGATCAAGCTCAAGTCATGGACGGTGAAACACCACTACTTTGGTCTCAGGTTGATGAAGCCATGGGTGCGTCAACTTCTCTAGCAGGCCGCAATAATCCTAGGAGAGCTCGTGGTGATCCTATTGCACGACCCATAGGCCCTTATATCACCTACACTCGGAACAACGCAAGAACAAGGCTGGTTGTGCATGATGAAGAGTTGAGGGCTGAATTAGAAGCGGCAGAATATGACAAAGACATGGAGAGCAGCGACGAAGATGATGCTGAATCCATTCGTGTACCGTGCCGGCCAAATCGAGTGCAGCGACCGCGAATCGAACCAGCCATGGCGAGGAGCACTGGCGGCTGTGGGTCCCTCTCCTTCTTCCTTCCACGCAGGTAGTCAAGCAAGGAATCGAGTATGAAAGGAGTGGCAGCAAAGGCGGGAGCAGCGGCGAGCTTCGTAGGGTCGACTACAAGGTCAGAGGAGCTGGCCATGGCGACCCGATGGCCGGCGGGCGAGCAGAGGCGGCGTTCCGGCCACGCACGCAAGAAAAGGGCAGCGATTGGTGCGTCGCGAGAGTAGTAAAAAATTCGCGGCAGCCTTTGAAGTGCCCAATATTTTCACGAGAAGCCCTTTTTAGGGCTGCCCTAAAAATTTGGAGGGCATTTTTCACCCTCTCGTGCACTAAAAACGGCCCTGCCCTATTATAGGGCTGCTGTTGGAGAGGCCTAACACCTATATTTCGTTGCAACCGGGCCCTTCCTAAATTATCAGCCGATATTTAGCCAAAAGAAAAAAAAACCATCTTTCTCCAGGCGGTAGTCACTGTAAAAGAAGTAGACAGGATGCAAGATGCAACAAGTAAATTTAGCAAGATTAGAGCAGAAGACTGGCATTTAAGAGCGGGGCACATCTCCCTTCGTTTTATTTCAAATCCCAAACACAGAGCAGTTCAGCAGCATAGCACCCTACAAACCCCACTGCAAAAATCCCTCAGAACCACATCCAGTGGTTGGCTTATCTGTCCACTACTTGACATATCACACCTACATCCTCCATTGCCCGTAGTCATCGTGTCCTTCAAGCTGCCTCCTCAAGCAGCATCTGATCGAAGTGCCACACTCCTGTATTTCATCCAAACAACGTAAGAAACCAGGGCAAACACAGGCGACCGAATGATGCAGCAGTGTTCAGCAAGATACTGACCGTGGCCTTTGCCGACTCTTCTCAGCTGCGACACATACTCAGAGATCTTCTTGATGGCGTCAACCTTTCACATAAATTTGAGGTGTTTCTACTTAGTAAAACAGACAATAAACATAATCGTATGCTACATGTCTCGTGCTGTATTAACTGGAGAGTTTGGAGAGTTGTACCTGCTCCTGAAGGAATTCGCTCTCAACAAAGTCGGTCAGCTGAGGATCATTGCACCTCGTAGCTACCTGTTAATTTGGAGCAACCACATTTTAGATTCTGTGATGTAGCATTACATAGCCCATTCACAGTAACTTTGCTGTAAGTAGGCATGGAAGAACAACTTACACTGTGCAGGTTGTGCAGTTTCTCATTCACCAGCTTTTCAAGAGCTAGAGCCAACTCCATTGCTGACATTACGAGAGAGGCACAAGTTAAAATATAGGGTATCAGATGTTCCATTGCTAACAAATATATAACCATCAAAACTTATGTATCACAGGGTTCAAAAAAACAAATAGAAGTCAGGGAAACTATAATAATAATTTCAGAAATCTTAGCTACTTTGTGTTACGACACATATTTTGACTTTTCTTCCTCTTCATGCAGTTTAAATAAAAGCTTCCAAAACACAAAATATATTACAAATAATCAAAAGGCCATCAAACAGCTGTGAGTGTAGTGAGTACAGCACGCAGCTGATACTGAGAGATCTGACCTCTCCTCAACAAGACCATTAATTTATCCTCCCCTAAAAAAATGATGCAAATCCTAACTCATACAACCAGATTCACCCTAAGGTTTACTGAACTTTTGCAACAACATTGAGTTTTTGTCTGTGCTCCTGATCTGGCAACACCTCGAACCACTCCAGACAACTCAAGTTTCACATGAACAACCAGACACTTGTTATCACACAATAAGCACATCACATGGATTCCCCATGTAATGTAACGCGCCGTGAAATGCAAACACGTCCAGAATAACTGTATGAGGAGGCAACTTACCATACAGGGCATCGCCTTTCTCAGGATGGTCGAACTCCGTTAAGGGTGTGACAATTGACTGGAGCCTCACCCTGCCTCCACGTTTGTTCTGGTCGACACAAGAACACACGAAGCATGAGTATATAACAGCACGGGGCAACGGTCCGGACCAATCAAAGATAGCAATTAGAGAGGTAGCGAAATTGATACCTGGTACTCCATGAGCTTCTCGGCGTGCCCCCTCTCCTCATCGCTTGATTCCTTGAAGAACCTGCAAGAACAAACGCGCATCAGAACACTGTAGTGGTAGATTTTTAACGAATCCACCGGGCCAAATTTGGTGGTGTGGTGAGTGGGGAAGGACTTACTTGGCAAATCCCTTGAGAGCAACGTTGTCGCGGTCGAAGTAGGCGAAGAGGGAGTGATACGCGTACGAGGCATTGTACTCCACACTGCAATGGCAATTTTAAAGATTATAAATCGACACTTGCATCCATTTCGGATTGGAATCCATAGCGGAAACAGAGTCTCTTGTGGCAGTTTAAAACGGTTTCACGATCCTAACACAGAGATACTGCTAGATCTCTGCATGATTCGTCAGAAAAACACGCAACCGAGAAGAGTAAGGATTCATTTTATATTTATACCAAGCGGAGCAACACTCACTTGATCTGCTCGTTGAGGGCGGCCTCGCACTCGTCGACGAACTTGTGCCTGGCGAGCGACTGGTCCTTGCCCTGCGGCACGAGGGACAGCTCCCCCTTGAGCTCCTCGAACGGCTGGAACATCACGCCGCTGAGCACCTCCTTCCCCTTCGCCGCGGCCCTGCAGCAGACCGCCGACCCTGCCGCAGACGGCAGGGCCCCCGGCAGCCTCACCGAACCGGCGGTGAGCCCCGCCCCGGAGAGCTGGCCAACCGCTGCGGCGGCGGCGGCGGCGGTGGCCGGAGACGGCGCAACCCTAGGCAACATCTCGAACCCGAACGGCGGCGGCGCGCTTGCTATTCCGGAAATTGTGGGAGTGGGATTTGGTTTGTGCGGTGGAAGGTGGGAGAGGTGGAGATGGGGATAGATATAGGCGCGTGGTGTCCCAGATCCGCTCCACGTGGACGGCGGCGATGGGCTGGGAGGGGCGGGGGCGCGTGGGGTGCGCGTGGCGGGCGAACGCACGGGCGGGGATATTTTGGGTTGTGTGGTGGTGGTGGAGCCCGGTGGCAGCGGAGGTGGAGCAAGTTGCGCCGGTCGTGTAGGGACTACGGAGGAGAACGAGCATCTGGTTTCGTCTTCTCTTTTGTGCAACATTTATTTATTCGGGATTTATTTCATGTTTTTGGACGTGCATTTACATTTCTTTATGGACAAGATTATCTGCACTGATTCTTTTATAGGTGGAAGTAATGTATTTACCTTCATCTGTTGCTACTTTCGGCACAAGCTATGTGTTACTCCCTCCGTCCCATAATGTAAGATAGTCAAAAAACATCTTACATTATGAGAAAGCCTTAACTGTTAAAACCATTCTGTCGGATTATGAGAAGGGAACTGGTCAGCTTCTTAGTCCGAATAAGTGCTCCATTAAATTTGGCAAAAAGTGCAGTATGGAGGATCAGGTGTCCACGATGATTATTCTAAATATTACTGTTGAAGGTTTTGAGGATAAATATCTTGGTCTTCGGTGCCAGAGGGTAGAATGAAGGTTGGGAAATTCCAGTCGACCAAAGATAAGACTTTAAAAAGAGCGTCAGATTAGGTTGAAAAGTATGCTTCTACTGGTATTAAGGAATCTCAAATCAAGGCTGTTTTGCAAGCGCTGCCAGTTTATGCCATGGGACTTTTTAAGTTTCCAGTCTCGTTATGTGAGGAGCTAGCTCAGATTATAAGAAACTTCTGGTGGGGAGACGAAGAGGGTAGGAGGAAAACCCACTGGTTAGCTTGGGACAAACTAACAAAACCAAAAGGACGGGGAGGAATGGGGTTCCGTGACCTTAGGTTATTTAACCAAGCGCTGTTAGCTAAACAGGCCTGGCGTTTATTGGTGTATCAAGAGTCGTTCTGTGCTAAGATTTTGAAGGCAAAGTATTATCCCAATGGTCACATCTTGGATACAGTTTTCCCGCAAGCCACGTCCGTGAATTGGCAAGGAATCATGCATGGTCTGGAACTGTTAAAACAAAGGGTCATATGGAGAGTGGTCGATGGTAAAAATGTTAACATTTGGAGAGATAACTGGCTCCCAAGAATTTCGGGACTAAAAATTACAACTAAAAAGCATCGAACTAGACTGAAGTGGGTGTTGGAATTATTCATGAGCGGGACGAGAAGATGGGATGAAATTTTGATTAGGCATTCATTCTTTCATCATGATGCTGAAGAGATCCTAAACTTACGCATTCAGTCTGTGGGAGAAGGTGATCTAGTTGCTTGGCACTATGAGAAAAGTGGTATGTTCTTGAAAAGTGCGTATAGACTGGCTTTAAATCTCAAGGACAACAGGGACGAGACAGAAATATCCAGTGATGCTGTTAATGAGGAAAGAAGACTGTGGGACGTTATCTGGAAGGCTAAGGTTCCGCAAAAAATTAGAATTTTTGCTTGGAGAGCTGTGACCAACAGTTTGGCGGTTCAGGTGAATAGAGTGGCTCACCATCAAACGGTCTACAGTATGTGTACTATATGTGGAGTTCAGGATGAAAATATCTTCCACGCTCTGGTGACCTGCCCTAAGGCGCGTGCTTTGCGTATCGCCTTGGGGGATGTGTGGAATATTCCGAGGGAGGAGTTGTTCAGTTTTACGGGGCTAGACTGGTTTCTCATCCTGCTTGACCAATTGGGGTCTCCGGTACGCGAGCAAGTATTATTTATATTCTGGAGAGGTTGGCATCTGAGGAACGATTTGATTTTTGAAAGAGGGAAAGAATCGGTGAATGCGTCTGTTATCTTCGTGGATAATTATTGGAAGACTTTCTCCACTTCCAACGCTCGGGTGCAAGTGGACCAAAGCACCAAAGGGAAGGGGGTGATGGGGAATGGGGAGAATCTTAGTCCGCAAAAAGAAAATGATCGTGCTGTTTGGAAGCCTCCAGAGCGGGAGTATATTAAGATAAATGTTGATGCTAGTTTTGTGGAGAGCTTGAGATCTGCTAGCGTTGGGGTTGTCGCTAGGAATCATCTGGGAGAAGTCCTGGTGTCTTCTTGAGATTTTATTCGAATATGCTCCGGAGCGGAGGAGGCGGAACTTCGTGCGTGCCTCGTCGGGCTGTACATTGGTATTTCTCTTCACAAACCAATTATCTTGGAAACTGACTGCTCCTTTGCTGCTTCTTTCCTAGCGAAAGAAACTGTTGACAGGTCTCCTTATGTGGATCTAAAAATGGAAGCGATCAGCGCCTCCAAGTTTATTGTTGATCTCAAGATTGTTAAGATTGATAGGCAGGCTAACAAGGCGGCGCATGAGATAGCAAAATTTAGTTTTGATACCATGTCCGATGGTATTCTGTGTAATTCTGTTCTGCCCTGCGTGGCTAATTATGTAATGAAGGATTGTAAGACTATTGTTATTTGATCAATATATGGGTGGAGTTTTTCAAAAAAAAACATCTTACATTATGAGCCGGAGGGAGTAAGTCATTGGTGTACACTTGCAAAAAAAGGAGTCATTGGCGTATGTTTACAAGCCATAAGGGTCGTAACAATGGAAGGTTATCATAGTGGGGAGTAATTTTAGGTCAAATAAAGATTAAAACACATGCAAGTATTAAAAAAGATTTCTATTGCCCGGCTTGTGGCATTTGACTTGACCTCTGTGCTGATACGAATCAGGTGACATGCCCACAGCCAGTCATGTTGTAACTTGCGGGCACCCATCCGTTTGATCTGAAATGGACAAATCAGACCAAGAACTGTAACAAGAAGTCATTGTTCATGATGTGATGTAGACCGGGTACTGTAGAAGTGCACTGTAGCTATCTCACTGTTTATGTCAATCCGTAAGTTGATCCTTGATTGGACGGTCTAGGATGAGGGCAAGTCACCATACTGCTCAACGGTGACTCGCTCAAGCAAGTCGCCGAATCTCAGTCCTCTGTGTGCATAGGATTGCAATAAAGTAGTTCGAGTGGATTGTAATTATTTCATTGTTATTCCTTTGAAACTCAAACCAAAAGAAAAAAATCTCCATTTCTCACGTGTCATTTTCCCCCACCAAATGGGTAGATAGTGGTTCTCAATGTATGACCAAATCGTTTTCCTTTGCTCTCGCTAAGCGGTGGCAGCGGCAGATCTAGTACCTTCCAGCTCAGCCGGGCAACCTATGGATTTGTTCTTTCCTATGTCGGTTTCTTAGGCGGCCGGTGGCAGAGAGGAGAATCCCTAAGTCTTGGTTTCGGCTAGTAGTTTCTGTTACAGTTTTTTTCTCGTGGGGGCGACATTCAAGCGGATGGTGGCATCTCCTCTTCAAGTTGCTTTTCTGGGTTTCGATCCTTCTCGAGTTTGTCCTTCAGTACGGAGTTCCGGTGTGTTGGAAACGAATGTTTTGGCAATGCTTCACGATGTATTGATCGGTGCATAGCGCACGTATATATGGAGTACAAGGTTGGCCACAACCTCATCTATACAAAGACTAGGAGGTGGGCCGAGCTATACAATATACATGCACAAACCATGTATTCAACACCCCCCGGCAGTCGAAGCGTCGCCGGAGACGCAAAGACTGGACCTGAACTCCTCGAAAACATAACTAGGCAGTCCTTTTGTCATGACATCGGCAAACTGTTGCACCGTCGGGATGTGGAGGACCCGGATGCGCCCAAGGGCCACCTGCTCACGAACATAGTGTATGTTGAGCTCAATATTCTTCGTTCGTCGATGGTGGACCGGGTTGGCGGAGAGGTACACGGCGGAGACGTTGTCGCAGTAGATGAGCGTGGCCTTGTGAACATCAGAAAGCAACTCCTGCAGCAGCTGATGAAGCCAAGAGCATTCGGCAACGGCGTTAGCCACTGCCCGATACTCTACCTCGGCACTCGAGCGGGAGACGGTGGGCTGTCGCTTGGAAGACCAAGAGATCAGAGACGGCCCAAGGTAGACACAGTACCCCGAAGTGGAGCGCTGTGTGTCCGGGCAGCCAGCCCAGTCCGCATCAGAGTAGGCGACGAGGTCGGTGGAGGCGGAGGCCGTCAGTGTAAGTCCCATGGACGGGGTGCCGCGTATGTAACGAAGGATAGGCTTCACCAAGGTCCAGTGAGAGTCACGCGGAGCATGCATGTGAAGACAGACCTGCTGAACGGCATACTACAAGTCGGGGCGCGTCAGAGTGAGGTACTGCAAAGCACCCACAATGGAGTGATAGAAGGCCGCATCGGATGCGGGAGAACCCTCCAGAGCGGAAACCTTGGCCTTTGTGTCAACGGACGTGGGAGCGGGCTTGCAGTTAAGCATGCCAGCTCGATCGAGAAGCAAATGGGCGTAACACTGCTGGTGCAGAAAGAACCCATCTGGTCGTCGAACCACCTCAATGGCGAGGAAGTAGTGGAGGGGCCCCAAGTCCTTCAGGGCAAACTCATCGCGAAGACGAGCAGTGAGCCGCTGGAGGAGCGCGATAGTGGATGCCGTCAGGATGATGTCGTCGATGTATAGCAACAAGTAGGCCGTGTCAACCCTGTGATGGAACACGAAGAGGGACGCATCAGAGCGAGTCGATGTAAGTCTGAGCGTCTGCAGGAATGCAGCGATGCACTGGTACCAGGCCCGAGGCGTCTGCTTCAACCTGTAAAGGGAACAAGAGAGCAAGCACACATGGTCTGGATGTGTGGCATCGACGAAGCCGGTGGGCTGCTCACAGAACACCTACTCAGCGAGGTGGCCGTGCAAGAAGGCATTGGAGACGTCCAACTGATGCATATGCCAAGCTCGGGAGATGGCTAGCTGAAGCACGGTGCGGATCATGCCTAGTTTAACAACCGGGGCAAAAGTGT